AACATGGAGAAAGCAGCCTCGGAAAAGCTAGAGAAAACACTAAATCCAAAAGAGAAGGATAAGAAAGGCCACCCAAGAACATGAGGAATCAAAGTACTAAAGAACAGCAGATTAGAGGACTGAAAAGAAACTGTAGATCAGTGGTAAGAAGCAGAGAAATCTTATTTTATAAACTGTGCAGCCTGAAGGGCAAACAGGCAATACAGGGCTGGGAAAAAAAAAAAAAAAAAAAAAAAAAAAAAAAAAAAAAAAAAAAAGTTATAATACTGTGCAAGAAGGACATCAAAGTAGCATTTAGAATGTCCATGAAACAGCTCTGTCAAGGGTTCCAACAATAAATGATTAAAAAGTTATTTTTAAAAGGGGCTGTGGTTATGTAATATAATTAGATGGATGAACAACATTATCATCAGGACAAGGAAGGTAATACTTGCTTGATTCTCCACCTATTCATTTCTTATTAATGGGGAAGCACCAAACATTCAGCTTGTCTTCTGGACTTCTGGACTTGTCTTCTGCTCAGTTCTCCTCGTAGATAGTAGCATGCCAGCAGAAGTCTTATAGCTACTAATTAAAACAGAACCAAATCTTGTTTCAGAATAAGGGATACAAACTGTATTCCCCTTCACTGCACTCTTCAGCACCAAAGAAACACTGCTGTTTAATCAACATTTGGCCAAACCAACCACACAATCAATACAAACATCAGCAAGCAAAAAAGCCAATCCCAAACTCCCCATGTTCATCAGCTCTTACTGTGCGGATCCCAGCTTTGGAAAGAAAAGAGGCTTAATCCGTGTAGGGTCAGAAAGTCCCAGGATTATATGGGAGAAATGAAATATTTGTGCTCTAAAGAAGTTAACATTTGCAGCAATGCAGATGAAATGGAAGCGTTTCTCAGCGACCAAAATGAATTACAGAAAGTAAGCAGTTGGAACTATTTTAAAAACGTGTAAAAAGCAGGACCACAGGGGAAAAAATGTTAGTCAATTATATTGTGATTCATGTTAAGTTGTTCTTAAACATCTGAAGGAGAAAGGAGAAAATTAGGAAAATAAGAACTATGTACAACTGCTCTTATTGTGAAATGTCACTCCTTACACGCAACAATGTCACTCCTTACATGTCATGACAGTGCTACTATAAGAAGGGAGAAACAAAAAAGTCACACAAGAGGTAAAGAAAGGCAGTCTTAAAGTCTGCTTTTCAGATGGCTTTTGAGCAACAAGTTTTTACAGAATTTAAGCAATTAAATACAGAGATACTTTCAGTAGAACTCAAAAGCATCAACGTGGAGTGATTCCACCACCCTTGCTCCTGCTATCGGTACTTCTGTCCTCGTAAGAAAGAGATCCTCAGTGTGAACAAGGTCACTGCACCAGGTATCCCCTGAATCACAAGGCTTCCCCCAACAAATCTGAAATAATGATTCGGAGACAACTTATGCATTAGTAACTGCAGCGAACACAAGATCATACAGGGCAGAATTTCCAGACAAGAAGCTTTGGGCAGCCACAGGGCAGTGCTACCTGGGAAGGACACAGGGCACGCAGCCCTCGAGCCTCTGCAAGCCGTGCGGCGGGGCTGACAACGAGGGGGCTGGCAGCTGCTTGGCCAGGATTCTGACCTCTCCCTCACCAAGCCTTACACCACTGAGTGCTCCTCCTTGACACAGATGGGAAGAGTTTTGTATCCGCTGGTCACACCTGTATGATCTGTGATTTGGTCCCACCTGTGTGGCACAAGGAGATTTAGTGAGTTAGAAAAAAAAAACCACACAAACACATTGGCCCACTGGGTTTGGAGGTAATTTCTCACAGCGCTTATTTTTCTTTTTGTACACAATAGCACACAAACTAAAAGCAAATTCAGCCTCATGTTTGTTTCCATAAACCTCTAGTGCAGACACCAACCGCTGTGTAATGCATGCGTGCTACATGTGGATGAACCACACCATTCGCTCTCCTACATTCAGTTGCCTTAAGAGCAACAAAAGATTTCCTGGTATAATTAATTCTCTGTAATTGTACACTGCCACCAAAGGGGTGGTCCTATTCCCATACTTTCTTCCCACAACCAGCAGTGGATTCCCAGCCCCTCCCTTGCAAGGGACATGGGCACCGCGCAATCACTACATGAATCAGTTCAGCTCTCCTGCGTGACGCTAGATTCACGTTAATTTGGGGGAGGCCAATTTTTCATCAAACCAGCTTGCTGAACCAATCCTCCCCACTCCTGCAGCCACAACTGCACTGGATTTTATGCAAAGGGACAGCCAAGGCAGATGAGCAGGCAGGATGGGAGCAGAAACAAGCACTTTATCTCCCAGTTCACTGGGAGTTTGCAGCTACCCTGCGTGCAGTGAAACTGCAAGTGGCACGGGAGTACAGGTGTACAGAAAGCCCTATAACAACAGAGCTGTTTGCAGGCCACGATCTGCAAACTGAGTCACAGCTAAGTGTGGTATTAACACTCTGTACTCGCTGGCTGCCTCTGAAACATCTTTCCTGACTCCCTTCCCTGCAGGACAAATTGCATTTTCCTAACACTGGCTCCATTTTACAATGTATACTTAAGAGCAGCATTAAATCAAAAATAGCAATGACATGAAAACATCTCCAGAATGAATTCACAAGAGAGCACTTTTAGTTCATATTTGTCTACGTCTGTCCACGTTCTACTCCAAAACAATCACACGATAGCTGCAAAGAAAGCTAATCACTGCCTCCTGATTAATAAGACTTGCTCTTATTCCCTAGCTGTAAATGCAGTAAAGTACAAACACATTTACATTTGCAGAGAATTTGTATGCTATCTTAAGGATGTGTAAGTTAAGCCAGCAGTTCATACCACTGTTGAGACATGAAATGAGAGTGCTCCTCCCTCCCTTAGGACAGGTGACCAGAAGTCCTGCAGCCTATCAATAATTCAGCTGCGGTGAAAGACCAGTGACAAAGAACAAACTACCAGCAACCAGGAATCAAATCTGGTGCAAAGAGCAGGACTAGCATGCGACAGACATCTGGACACCATAATAAGAACCAGCTGTCCCACACAGAAAAAGTGTATGTGTGTGTGTGTACACATATGTATTTGTGCTAGAAATTCAAGTTACAGGCACGTACACATCTCTACTTGCTTTGCTTTGCCATTCTCACGTAGGAACCTATGTGGGTTGACTGAAAATGTGTCTTCTTTTGAAAGGCTGTTTTGTGTCACTGCAAACATCTGCTGCATATATTGCTCCATGCAGGAGTGTCTCTAACAGGAACCTCAGTTCACTGGATAAGCCAAAACAGTGACAGTACAAACATGTGCAGCGGGCAGCCCTGTCACAGAACTGCTGGCCTCTCAGCTGCAGGGGCAGTGCAGTTCGCGTGGTACCATCCCTGAGAAGCTCAGAGGCAGCCGAGGCACAGCCCGGTGGTACCACCACAAAATTTCACGTATGACTTCCTTGTCACTCTGAACTTTTGAGGTGTCAACCAAGAATAATTAAGTATTTACCACAATATAAATACATGTAAAGAGTTTTTTTTAAGTGACTATATATTTGGTTGTGCATTCCATCAACATTAATGGAAGTCATGCAGCTTGAATCATGCTCGCTGCCAAAAATACACCTGCTAATGTCCTTGCCACAAACACAGCATTTTGATTTAAAATTTATTGTTTAAAATCCACTGAAATAGATTAGCCACTCGGAACCCAGCTCTGTTCATACTACATATGTTAGACCCATTTTTTCCCATTTGAACATATATGGGCACATAACCAGGACCTGCTTTTAATATCTAACCACCAAACTTCACAAAAACTAACTTGTGGCTAAATGCCCCTCATTTTAAACCTCTGCCCTACCCTGACTAAGCAAACTTCTACAACCTACCTCAAAAGACCACCTCTTGGTCATATCCTCGGATCTCCTCACCGTTTTCCTCAGTCAGTCCCTATAACACAGCTCCTTTCTTATCAAAGCAGGCTCTTATTGTCATCCTGGCAAACCACTCACTTTTTTCTCTGGTAACCATTCATCTTTCTTTTCCCAGAATACACATGCAATGTTCACTTTTTTGTTTGTTTGTTTGTTTTTCCCCCTTCATCCATACTAGTTATTAAGACTTAACTTGGCCCTTCCCAAGATAACATAGCAGATTTATTTTATTGATTCCTGATCTTACCTCTCCTTCTCTGACACTTCTTACATCATGGCATTACTTTCAGTTCAATAAGCAAAAAAAAAAACAAAACAAAAAAAAAAAACAAACAAAAACACTGCTTACTCTCCATGCATAGGACTGTCCTTTTTTGCTGTACTTCACTTACTGCTCCCCCTAATAATGCAGACTGCCTGCTCTGCTCACCTTCTTGATTTCCTTCAAAAATTTTGTGACAAAAAAAAAAAAAATGCTGAGAACTATCCTATATAAGCTATGGAAAGTAGCCTTGATGGCAACTTCCAAAGTAGGTTTCTAAAAGCATGAAATTTGTTTTTCAGCCCTGGCAGTAACAGAGAAAACAGGAGGCAAGTTGACCATGTGTAGAAGCAGCAGTTTGAGGTGACCTCTACTCACGTCCCCAGGACAGTGAGGGACATAGTGCTGAGAACATGATACAGCTCTGCATGTCACTTAAAACACCTGCAGTTAATACTAGCAAAGGACTGTAGTTAAGACAGGTCTTAAGCCCTAGGAACCGAGTTTCTGCTATGACATTTAGACAAATCACCTGAGGACCATTAGTGATTAGCACAACCAACTTGCCTGGGATGTTTGGCAAGGTCACTACTACCAGCCTGCCCCTGCAGAAGAACGCCCGGGCTCCCATTGTTACCGGAGCCGTGTCACGGCCCCACCGGGCCCGGGCCCGGGGCGCTGCCGCTGGGGGCCGGCAGCGCTGCGCTGCCTCCCGCCGCCTCCCGCCTCAGCCGCGGCCATGGCGGCGCCCCGCGGGCCGTGAGGCGATGGAGCCCCGCCGGCCGCTCCCCGGGCCCCGCTCACCTCCTGCCGCCGCCTGCCGGTGCCGGGCGCACCCTCCCCAGCCCGGTGGGCCCAGGGTGGGAGCCGGGTGCCGCCCTCAGCTGTGGCTGTGCCCAGGCAGCGGCTGGGCTGCCTGAGGAGAAGGAAGGCTGCCGCTGCTCCCCGGTCCCGAGGGGCGGCAGGTGCGCGGCTGCCTCAGCGGGAACGGGTGCAGATCGAGGTCTCCCGGCCGCACAGGAAATGTCAATTTAATATAAGCTTTAATTACTTTACGCATTTACCCCTCGAGCTTGTGACCGTCGTGTGCACTGACCAGTCTATGCATTACCCATGAGCCTTCCACACCCTTAGTCCCTAACTAATTTTTTCCAGCATTACAGGCTAGAAACTCGTGCTTTGTTTGGTGTAGTCCTCTGCTGTCACCACAGGAAATGATACTAAACCCATCACTAGTAACTCCTCACACAACCAGTGCTTCTCACCTCATTCACTAAGCATTAATGAGCATGTTTGGGGATGCTGGAGAAACACAGGACTCCAAAGGCGACACCTTCACCACTTCCTGACATAGGCCTCAAGAAAGAGCACAGCAAACCTTAGTGTTCCCCATTTTGCAGACTCCCACAGCCCTGACCACTCTTCCTCTTCATTGGGAGACTCCTTCAGTTCGTACAAACGGCTGTAGTTCTGTTCTGTCAGTTCCACCAGCGCCACACCTCCAGTGGAATCACCGTAACTTCTGCCTCCGCTTGTTTTCTCCCTCCTGTTAATCTGAAAACAGATGAAAAAGAAAACTAATACTGACACTTGAAGAGTCATTTTAAAGGTGTCTTTCCAGTTTTTGATTTCCATTCACTTACTGTAGGAAGAAGCAGCTTGGTTGGATCTTACTGGTCATCTTCTCAGATCACCTTCTAATGATTCATCAGCCAAATCCAATTTGCTTGGCAGTTTTATTTGCCTTGAGATGTTGATCAGTCAGCAGGCCAACTAGACTAGCAGTATTCCTCCCAGTGTGCTACAGGAATGCAAACGTAAGAAAAACTTCAGTCATTTTGTAGAAACCTTATTAGGTAACCTGGGGACCTGTGCATATGTGGCAGTAATGGTCCAGCCCCAACACTTGGCTTTGTTTCCTTTGTAGAACAAATTTTCCATCTCTAATAAAAGACCAAAACATATTGACATGAAGAATTTGCCTTGATTTTGACCCCTGTTGGATAAAGTCATTGAGACCTTGGGCTTGGGTGCCAACAGTGTGTATGCTGGGCCTCTGAACTGAGTGAGCTCTGTTAAAAAAAAAAAACAGGTTTTTCCCTGTTCTCCTTCTATCCCATTAGCTATTCCTTTGATTAGTTTGCCTTCATCCCTCAGGGTCTCACATTTCTTTTCTCTACATAATATGCCATACGTTGTATTACTCTTAGCTCAGTCTTAGAGCACGGTAGAACACATTTTTCTTTCTGGGCTTGTCCAACATGAGCTCATATTCATATTCTCTCTTTCTTCCCTTGACCACTGAAAATAAAACATCACAAATAACCTAATATATTTGGATCCATCCAAATCCTTAAAAGCTGTGGTAAATCCTGATATCATGGAGATGGGTGAGAATTAGACCTTGAGTACCCACCAAAATCAAATGTATGACTACATCCTTTGCAGTGCAGGGTTCCAAATTAGCCTGTCAGGTTTGCATGTACTACTTCTGCTGACTTCAGTGGGAATTGCACATATGAAACTAACAGAATAATCAGGCCCTGAAAATTTAAGCTTGTGTCCCCAAGCATAGCTACTGCATTTTTAACTGATTCAGTGTGAGATGCATCTGTGACCCTAGAGCAACTGCAACAGCTGGGAGTATGTGCTGGCACCCAGAAAGCTAGTGCTTTCTTTCCACATGGGATATACAGCAATCTCCAACCTGCCCTGCTTGTATTTAAAACACAAACTTAGATATAATATAAAGGAAGTGTTTCTGTTACCATGACATCGAGCAAGAAAATAAACATTACTCTCCCTAGAAAACGAAATACAAGGTAACAGCATTTTAGCAAGTCTAATGGCAGAAGTCGGAGCCATCATAACACATTATAGAAGACAAATGAAAAGGTTGGTTTTGATAGCTTGAAACAAAAGAGGAAAATATTGAAATATTTTGCATACAGAAAAAGAGAAACACTCTAGATACTCTATGTTCTAACTAGGTGTTAGAGAAGCACTATTTTCATTTTCATCTTTTGTTTTTGAAAGCCTTCCTTTTTTTTTTTTTTTTTTTTTTTTTTTCTTTTCTCTCTTGAATTCCCCAACTAAGAGATAGGACTAAATATAAAACTCACTAGGTACTTCCTACAAATCTTTCAAACAAAAATTAGATTATTTTTCAAAACAAAACTAAAAACAACTCAGGAACAAATAATTAAAATTAAACATGGGGGAGCATTAGCTATTATCAGTAAGATGCATACTGCTGCACTATTCTTGAAATAAGTAAGTATTTAAGTATTTTATACCTGACAATGTAGGTTCAGTATCCCAAATCCTCAAATTCAGTCTGATTAGCCACTCAGGAGAGCAAGAAATTATGTAGATAATCTAATCAGATATAAAAATGAAGAGTACGTATGCAATTAGTGTTACATAAGCATATGGAAGTTGGTGTAAATAAAACACATCCAATTATCAAAAGGAAAAAAGGTAACTAATAACAGTCTCTATGCCGTTTCTTGAAGACCTCTTTGTAACAGCTGGTAGATAACTTCTAATGATAACTCAATAGAAATCACTTCATTCAACAGATATAGGAGTTACACTGAGTTCTGAGCTCAAAAATGTCACTACATTTATTTGTATTCCTCTTCAGGACAGCAATGTAGCCCTTATTCAATTTGTGTGACTTAACTCTTGTGATATGACTTTGCACTGGTACATTATTCAAATAAATCATGCACATAAATCCCATTTTATACTATTTTAATTTTGCTCTGTAATAAGATGTCTTTCTAAAAAAATATGAAAAGGTTTCTTTCTTTCAGTATTGAGCAGATATGCTCAATACTGTAGATGTAGAAATCATATGCCTGTCTGTTTATTATGGTATACTCAGCATAGATCTGGGGGTTTCTCTGCCCTCATTTTACAATTTACAGGCTAAACTGCCTGGTACAGACAGAAGAAGTCAGACCCCTTATTTTCAGCAAGTCCGTTGCCTGCCCAGTTCTGTGAAGTAAAACCATGACCATCCAACTTGATGTTAATTATTTATTTTGTAAAGTTGTTCATTTTAGAGCTGAATTAGTGAAATGCAACTGAATTGAGCCAAAGGCTCGGACTGGGCTGCCATTTTGACATTCTCATCAGGGAAATGATGCTGTAAACACCCATACTTGATTCACATGCATGGTCTCTTGGTTGCCTACAGTAATGCCCATCTGTTCGGATGGCATCATGCCCACTCAACTTGCTCAAGGGAATACATGCTGGGCAGTGATTGGCTTAGGTAAGTATTTTTCAAACTGGGTCGGTGTCGACCTCCTTTTGGGAAGGCCCAAGAGGGAAAGGAAACAAAAAGAATTTTCATTTTTTATTTTAATGGATTGTTTTCATTTAACATTCAGCAAAAACACCACTATCTATAAAACATTCCGTAGATGGTTTTGCTGATTCCTTGTTACCTGTGACCCCAGCAAGGAAAAATAAATTAAACTGCTTTCTCAATTAAAAAAAAAAAAAAAATGAGTTCAACCTGTTATAAAGTCACAGTCCATGTAACATTAAGACCACCTTATCTACAGAAAAGAACCCTGTCTCAGCAGGCATTGTCACATTCTGACAATTGAACTAATTTCCTTTTGTTGAGCATTGGTCAACACTCAAATATCTGAATTCATAGATATTCTTACCAGAAGCCATAGCCCGAATTCTGTGGGGAAAGTGGTGAGCAATGCCTCAAATTATTAGTCAGATCAAATTAATGTTATCGTACAAAAATAGAATTCCAAGATATAAAACAAACATGCACACAGATACAGATGATGGAGGTGCAGTATCATGAAAGGATTATTCCTAAAGTGGAATAATTTCCAAATATAGCTTTTACTTCTCCAACACCAAAGAACTTTGCTTTAGTGAAGTACATTGTACAGTGGAGCCATTGTCTGTCACATTGCTTTATCAAACAAAAAGGAGGGGAGCATGTCACCCTCTCTCCCTGAAAATAAACTGTTGTGTTTTTTTTTTTTTTTTTTTTTTTCTTTTAATAGAAAGCTACCATTAGCTACTAATAGAAAGCTTAAAAAAAAAAAAAAAAAAAAAAAAAAAAAAAAAGATGAAAATAATCCGTTTCCTTTTCATTTGGGAGACAAAAGCCTTTCAGTGCTGCGTCCATGCGCTCTGACTACTGTTTTGACACTGTGTCAAGATGCTCCCACTCTGCTCCAGGTCTCAGATCACAGTTGGAGTGTCTTGATACAGTGTTGAATCAGTAGTGTCAGCAAGTCTCAGAGCAGAGTCAAAGAGCCTCAATGTAGCCTCAGAGCAGGTAGTCAGAGAGACCTTTCCCCTAAACTGAAGCCGGGTTGGGGGGTGTTCTGTTTTTTTTTTTTTATTATTTTTAATTGTTTGTTTTAACACAGTTTGACCCAGCTGCACCAGACTCGTGCTTTTAATTACTAACCCTACTTGCACTGAGGTATCAGAGCTAGCTCTTTCCCAGACCTGAAGAGCTGTTAAAAAGCAGCATGGAATAATGTTAATATTTTCTTGAAAGAGCAAAAGCAAGCCCAAGCACAGGGACTGAGGAGCTCTGCTTTCTCAGAGCAGCCGGCACTGCAGCTAAGGTTTGTTAACAAGGCCTGACCCTGCTTTGGCAGCACCCTGTTCAGCTGCACCACGGCAGGGATGACCACGGGGAGCCCGTGCCCTGGGCCCCTGCTCACCTGCTGAGGCGCGATGCTCTGCTGCTGCAGACCCCGCTAACTGCACCAGTGGGCAGTGCCAGGGGAAGTGTGGCGTGCTCTGCCATGCCATAGCTGCGGCTCAAAGCCCTGGTGGCCCCGGTGCCAACAGGAGCCCTCTCAGCAGTATCACTGGGGTCATGGTTTGTCTTGCTCGGAGCAGAGCAGGTTGACACACCTGCTCTCTTCAGCAAGACGATGCTATGCGCAGTCGGCACAGCGCAACTCGTATGGCCGAGCGGTGCCTCGGCGAGGTGATAAGCCGGGACCTCACAGTCCGCACGAGGTCCTGAGTGCTGCTGGGGTGAGGACAGGGACACACATGGCTGGGGCGCTGTCCTGAGGCACAGGAGGAGAAGGCTTGATGCAGGGAAGGACGTCAGCTTGGTAAAGAGGTCACGGGGGCCTGCAGAAGTTAGTGATATACAAGGACGTGGATAGGGTTTGAAAGCTTTGGTTAAGGACTGTGAAAACAACAAAACAACCAAAAAAAAAAACAGGACATAGGTTTTAATGCCTGAAACTTTGTCCCTTTTTACCTGTTCTATTTTTATTTCACTTACAGAAGCAGTGTACATTCTTTCTTATAAACCCAGTCTCATATCTTTATAGGATCACTAAAGCCACAGCATGACTTGAAAAGCTAAACACCACACTAAGGCACCCCTCAGATGGTACCAAATGAAGGGATGTTGTAAGTGTGGGCAGAGACCAAATTAAACATATCATAAGCATGGGAAGCAAAGGAGATTGGCAAGAGGAAAGCTGTAAGGCCCGTAGAAAATAAGGAGCAGG